GTTGAGGTTCAAATGAAAGAGAATGATGCTGGTTGCCCTGGTTCAGACCTGAGGAGAGGACCCGCCAAGACCACATCCAACAGGAAAGAGGACATTCTGCCAAGTGGTATGTTGTGACTAATACAAAATATGTTTCCACTAATGTGTTTTGTTTTGTCAGCTTGGGTATTAAAAATCTCATGTCCTGGGACCCCTTAGCCTAGGATAGCTGGCCATTCTATAACCAACAAGGTGGTGGGCTAGAGTGAAAAATCCCCCAAAGACCTTACCCTCACATTGCTTAATAATATGGATGTGTAACACTCCGTTCAAGATACTTGCTAGGCAGACTGGAGCCCAATGTACGTCTTGCTGCGGTGAACCTTTGCGGTGGTCATCCTGGGGATGGGAGGGTCAGTATGCATCCTCAATAAAATGAGCCAAATCTATGAATGGCACTGTCAGAGGGACACTGCCTCAGCGTCTTGTCAAATGCTGTCTTAGTCACTGCTCTGTTGCTGTGAAGAGATGCCATGACCAAGGCAATTCTTATAAAAGAAAACATTTAATTAGTGACTTCCTCAGAAGAGTAGTCCATTATCAACATGGCAAATGGCGTGGTTGAAGGCATGGCAGGCATGGAACTGGAGAAATAGTGAGCTCACAGAGAGAGTGATCCCAGGCCTGGTATTCATTTCTGAAACCTCAAAGTTCACCCCTAGTGACACACTTCCTCTGGCAAGGCCACACCCACTCCAACAAGGCCACACCCACTAAACCCTTTAATCTGTTCAAATATTACCGTTCCTTGGTAACTAAACATTCAAACAGATGAGTCTATAGGGCCATTCTTATTTAAACCACCACAAATGCCACACAGATGGTAAGAGGCAGAAACAGAGGATAGAACTAAAATTAGTCTGACAATACACATACTGTCTGCCTCTCATGCCCTTTTGTTGGGTGTTCTAACACTGCCAAGACCTCAATACTCCACAGGTCTACAGGAAGGATGGGATCTGAGTACTCAGATGGATGGCTCTTATAAAAGATTTGGGTGGGGCACATGTATTTGCAGGTTCACAGGCTCTCAGAACTCACAGGTGTTGTCTATCCCAGAGCATGGGTTCTCATGTAGCTGGGAGAGAAAGGGTTGCAGAAGCCAGACCTACCTTTCAATCCTGCCGACCTCAATCCATGACCCAGCCTCTGAGAGGGGAGGCCAGATGCTAGGGTTACAAGGACTTCCAGGATCTCCCTGTAGCCTGTTCTTACTTGGTCCCCCTCCTCAGTAAGGATTCTCTATAAGGACCTGAGCAAGACCCTGCTTCTTTCTTAGAACCCTGACATGTTTTAGATAAGTTTCCCTTATAGCTCTGTGTAGTAAGATCTGCAGCCAACGCCAGTATTGGGAAGTGATGGACCTTTAATAGGTGGGGTGTAGTTAGTTACTGGGTTGTGCTTGTGAGGGGGTCTTGCATCCTGACCTTTTTCCTCCTTTGTACCTGGCCATAGGGGTGGGCAACAGGTCTCCTCTGACATACACTCTTGTGCGATGATCTGTGCTGTCATAGGCCTAAAGTAAGGGAATCGGTTGGTAATGGACTGAAATCTCTGAAACTGTGAGCACAATAAACTTTTCATGTGGTGGAAACTTCCTGTTCAGAAGGTGCGATTACAGCAGAGGCAAAGACTATACATCCTCAGTGGATTTTCTTCTGTAAACTATTTGACTCTAAACAGCACCCTTCCCCCAATATCACAATAACATGCCACCAAAATGAACCAATGGGTGAATCAATAGAGCTGTGTCTTTGGCTCCAAGAGGATGCTGGCAAGGCTCAGGGACTAGTGGATTTGGTGGGCACAGACTGGGAGAGTTGTCTGGACAGAATTTCTAGTTTTGGCTCCCTAAAAGAGTCTATGATATTCTGAAACACCAATGTCATTTCTCAGCTGGTCAAGTGGATGGCTCATGCTGAGGCAGGAGAATCACTGTAAGTTTTAGGTTACATAGTGAGTTCCAGCATAGCCTTGGTTACAGTGTTAGGCTGTGTTTTAAGAAAAGAAAATGGAAAGAAAAATCATTCATCAAGAGGTCCCTAAGGCACTCACTGTGTTCTGGCTTCAATCTTCTCCACTCTCAGGTGAGATTGCCCAGGCATAGAAAACCTATGTTTTCAGGACAGTGAGAACCTAGCACATCACAGGATGGCCTTCAGGACAGCACTGTGTTCTTCCTGGGTTCCCTTACCTGTCCCTGCAGACAAGCAGGGTCTCTGTTGGAGAGTGCCCCCATGGAGAAACGCTGGCACAATGTCAAAGTCTTCCTCCATGATCATCCGTCATTGCCACCAGCCTGGTCCCTGCTCTTGGAGGTTTCCAGTATTGAGCTGAAGAACTACAAGGGTGAGTCCTTTGTCCTATCTGAATTTGCAGAAGGGCCTGGCAGAGGGTTCATGTCTTGTCATGAAGAGGTTTCATCTGGTAGTTTCAAGCCCTGTGAGAGTACATACACCCAGGCTTCTCTCAAGTTGAAAATAGGATCATTGAGAAAAGCCTGGAACAAAAATACAACTGTGTAGGAGGGACAGAACGGGTGTCATGGATAAATCTAGCATGTCAGAGGCCAGACTTTCACAGCCTCCTCTTCCAGGAGGGGTCTTTGGCCAGTTGTCTTGTCTTGGCTACGATGGCATTCCATACTGCCTACATCTTAGCCCTCAGAGGCCCCATCCTGCTACTCACAAATATTTCCATCTAGCTTTGCAAATAGCACTCACAGAAGATGAACTCAAGGGACCCAGAAAGCCCTCAGTACCGAAGGGCACCTGACGCCTCACAAATCCTCCTTGAAAGATCTTCTGTCAAAACAAGCGTCACAAAGCTAGGAGTCTTGCCATGTGCCTGTTGCCAGCTGAGACCGGAGTGGTCTGGCCTAGGAGTTTAGGCCAGTGTGGACAATATAATGAAACGATGTCTCAGAAAAGGGGGTGGGCAAATCCAGGCTAGGCATGGTGGTGCACAGCTTTAATCCCAGCACTTGGAAGTAGAGGCAGGTGGATATCTGTGAGTTCTAGGCTAGCCTGATCTACATGGCAAGATCCCAGAAAGCCAGAAAAAAACTAAAATTTAAACAACAACAACAAAATGTGGCGAATCCAAGATGGTAGCCTGGATGTCAACAGTCCTCCTGTGTAAACCAGGGACGTGATGGTACCCATCTGAAATGGAAGAAAAGGAAAATGTGTGTGGGCACCTGGTGCCTGGCTGAAGAGCCACAGGAGCCACAGCTGCAGTTAAGTGAGACCCAGTGTCTCTAACCCTGTGGCTCTATCTTCCTGTATCACCTTCACAAGGAAGGAACTCATCTGTCTTTTTTTGGCTGTGCCAGCTCACAGGGCAGCAATGCACACTTTGGGAAACCTGCTCTGGGAGGAAAAGCTAAGTTTAAATACTTTCTTTGCTGTTGCTAACATTAGGCTTTTGCAAAGGTTGGGAAGGTTTTAGAAAATGCAGACCCTGGCATGACCTCTCCTAAGCCATTTACATGAACACTGTCTTTTGTTTTTCCAAGACAGGGTTTCTCTGTATTGCTTTGGAGTCTGTCCTGGAACTCACTCTGTAGACCAGGCTGGCCTTGAACTAACAGAGACCTGCCTGCCTCTGCCTCTGCCTCCTGAGTGCTGGGATTAAAGGCTGCGCCACCACCTCCTGGTTTGGACACTGAGTCTTTACCCTCTGGATTGGGTTGGGGGGGGGAGAAGGAGGAATGGGGTAAAGTGCCAAGAAAAGAAGCAGACTGAATTAGCATAAAAACGCTGTGACATGGTGATGTACCTCTTGTTGTCCCAGGACTGGAGAGGCAGAAACAGGAGTGTTCCTGGGATTGGCTGGCCAGCCCATCTAGCCTTATTGGTGAGTTCCAGAACGATGAAAGACCCTGCCTCAAAGGAGGTGGACAGCATCCCCAAGGAGAGATACCTGAGGTTGTCCTCTGGCTTCCCTATACCTGCACACATGTGTGCATGTGCACCTGCACATACATACATGAGGGGATAACAGGAAAAAAGCCACTCACTGAGCTGCTCCCTAAGAATAAGGCTTAGATCCTCTCAGTGCAGGTCCTGCCTTTGTTTCTAAGACTTTCCTCATTGGCCTCTTTCTACAAGATCTTACTCTGAATGAACCACCTTGCAGATTTGTTAATACTAACATGCAAATGACTGTTAGAGTGCTTTATACTGGCTCAATTTTATAAGATGAATTCTCAAAGAAATAAAAACTTTCAAGCGAAGGAGTTATGTGCATATGGTAAGAGCAAAGGCCTCCCCAGGGACTTTTTAAAAAACATACTGCTATCCAGGCTCTGTAACCTGGCTGTGGCTCAGGGGCCAAGACATTTGAGTTTAGCAGACCAGACCAGATAGCTGTTTTTGAGACAAGGTCTATGTAGCCCTGGCTGTCCTGAAACTTGAGCTGTAGACCAGGTCTGAGAGACTTTTCCTTCCGGAATGAGGAATGAGGAAAGTAGTCAGGGGTATGGTGTGTGTGGCAGAGCCAAGGTACTCAAAGTAGGAAAGGTCTGCGTCTTCCAACGGCCATTCTCAGGGCACATAGCATTACTAGTAAAGGGCTGTGTGTTCAAGGATTGTTTTCATGTTGTGCAAAAGGGTTCTTGCCTTGTAGCCTTTCTTGGAGTACCCCCAAGCCTTCTCTAATTATGGGGCATACCAGGTTATTGCCAGTATGTCTAAGAGTGGCTCATCTCATGAACAGGTGTCAGCAACCCATACGCTGCTGGGACTCTGCCTTTGGCCTGGGACTGCAAGAGCTAGGGAGCATTGGGGTGGATTCAGGATACTAGAGAAGATCAGGCTGACAGCAGGGCTACACCCTCCTCACCACCAGCCATCCTGGCTCAAGAAGGTGTGATGCAGATAACGCCAAGCATGAAGGGCCCAACCCCCAGTAGCTCCTTGGAAAAGGGCCCCAGCTTGGAACAGATGAGTCACAGGCCGTCCAGGAACACAAACACCAGTATATTTTATGTGCACAATTATGAAAAGGAAAAGACAGACAGAGACATAGCAGGCAATGGGCTCACAAATCAGTCATGAGATCTGTCCAGTTGGAGGACAGTCCTATCCACTTCAGAGGCCCTGTTCCAAAGCTGGGGCCTGTAGCTCATCCAGGTATGGGTAGCCTCAGGGCAGAAGGCACTTCCCTTGCCTTATTCACAGTTCGTGGCTAGGCCTCTCACCTGCTTCCTGCAGTGACACTTTGCATAGCCCAGAGCTTCAGAAATAGATTCTCACATGGGCTGACCCACTCAGCAGCCTTCTGGGAGATCCACGAAGAGTGAGGGACCAGGACAAAAGGGACTCACAGATGCTCCCTATGTATTATTGCTGTGAAAAAGCACAGGCCATTGTGACTCTCTGGCATGAGGAGGGGCCAGGGCACTGGAAGCCTAGCAGACATCCAAAGCAACTCAACCATGCAGGGCAGCATACTTACTATCTGCAACTCTGAGATGGCTGCTTTGGGCCTGGAAGATCAGAGGCTCCCTTAAAAAGCCAGCAGACTCCCCGCTGCGCAGAAGGGCTAGATTACCCCAAACTTCATGCCCCGGTGCACTAAGGGGTTGGAGCCCTGAAGATAGTAAAGCAAGAGCTGAAGTCTGGGCTATTTGATGATATCTGAGCCTGCAGGTCTGTGGCCAGACCTTACGCCATAGCCTCCCCTGGCTGGGGATTCTGTGCCTATGGGGGCCATAGGAGAACAGGGGCCTACATAAGCAGACCGCTGTGCTGAGTATCGCCAGGCAAGCAGGTTCACTCCAGGAAACCCACCTGGCATGGGTTAAAGGGTCTTGAGAAAAATGGTGCCAGGGGATTCTGCAAGGCAACATCTGGAGTGCTGAGGCCAGGGGCCACCCAATGGCTTTCTCTAGTTGAGAACTGGAGTCTTAATGCTGGGAAACCTCAACAAGCCACTGGATTCAGTTGTAAGGTGGCCTGCAGAGGCATGAGGATTCAGGGGATTGAGATAACATGAAATTGGAGGAAGGAGCCTACAAAATAAGGAGTTCTCCCCACGTGTGGATGGAAAGCAACCACTCCCTTCGGAAGCCTGAATCTCTGAAACCCACAAAGCCCTGGAATCAGGGTTACAACAAAACCAAGAGATGCTCCTCCCCTCCTCCCCCACAGAATGGTGTTTGGTGATGAGATGCCTACCCAGGGATACACTACATTCTGTCCTGACCAGAGAAGTCTCTCTCCCAGCCTAGGACATCCCTGCTGCTGCTGGCACTGGCCTGGGGCTGTCTGCATACTTCAGAAACTCTCTCCCCAAGAGGCACTGTCACTTTTTAAATGATCTGTAGGAATGAAAAGGCTGACTTCTACCTCAGAGCCTCCAGAGTGGCCAAGAGGAGAATGCAACGTGGGATAGACACTCTTCGATGGACTGACATCCTTTCAGAGAGTGGAGGACAAAATCAGAAGGGCCTAGAGTAAGGATTTCACCCGTCCACTGCCAGCAATGGACCCATCACGGGAGGGAGACAGCCAAGCAGACAATGCCCATGAGTGTAGCAGGGTTAACACTGTTTGAGGAGCAAGCTCAAAGGGGCAGCCTGGCCAGGAGCTGGAGGAGAAGCAGCCCGGAGGTTAGCTGCTGAGCTGAGGCTATGGTAGAACTCATCTTTTTCCAGAAAAGGGGCTCCAAAGAGCCTTCCATGGGCTTTCCCACACCTGTCTTGTTCCTGTGGGTCTCCAACTAGATACGTGCTCCCCTTTCTCACAGAAAGACACATTGACCAACTGGCTTATAAATAAACCAGTATGGGAAAATAGGACCTAGAACTCTGCCTTTTTTTCCTCCACTATGAATCCACAGAACACCTCTAGGCCCAGATGAACACTGAGGGAATACTATGGATTTCCAGTAGGACCTCTGCAGGGAGGGGGCATCAGACCACTGTCCCCAGGCCAGGGAGAAGGCTGCCCCCAGTCCCCAGATGAAGGTAGAGGGAAGGCTGCAGGAAGGCAAACGGGATCCATTTTAGAGCTGTGCCGCTGGCCACTGCTGTGTTCTGTAGGGAGCTGGGAGCGGGGAGGATATGGTGACTGACACAGGGGAAAGGGCTGCCTGCTAGTGGTAAGTGTCTTCAACATAAGAGAAAGGGGAAACGCCACCGAACACACGGGATCGAAACCTCCAAAAGCCCAAGGTTGGTGGGAATCCAGCACCACAGGGGCCCCCAGAAGGCCAAGGGAACAGCATGGGGCCTTTGGGGAGGGAAGGGGGCCAAAGGAAGTTTTCCCAGCCCTTGCACAAGAGCCATGCCACCAAGCAGCCTATTGGCTGCTGGGTCCCTCTCAGGTTGCAGCTCAGAGGCCCCTGGGGAGGTATTGGTTGCAAGCAAGCACCTGAATATTGTCTAATGGGACCAGCCAAAGCCCAGCTGAAGCCAGGGGGCAGGTGGGGTGGTGGCCCCAACAGCAGCCAAGACCTCCTCAGACCTTGCCTCCCACCTGTGACCCCAGAGTTCAAGTCCCTTTGCCAGAACAGGCCTTCTGCTTCCAAAGTTATCCATGAAGTCCAACTGTTCATTGCCCAGGCCCCAGCCCCCAGGATGAATAGAGAGCCATGGACCAGTCCCAGTGTCCTTCTGTTGTCTGGACCCCCAACTTCCCAACACCATCCCACTGCCCACCATATGTGGTTGTGATTGCCCTACTGGGGGCAGGGCTTGTGCTGAACCAAGAGGTAACCCCACCAGCTGGTCTCTCTGTCCTTGAGTTCCTAGGAGAGACCTTAGGTCCTCACATTAGTCTTCTGACTTAGTCGGTCTTGACGTGGCCATTGGCCAGGGCTGGCGGACTGGCGGGCTCCCCGGGCTCTGCGTCCTTGTCGAAGCGTAGGCGGAGGGTGTTGCGGATGATAAACTGCTCCATGATGAGGGCCCCACAGAACCAGGGCACAGCGTACTCCAGGGTGATGAGACCCATGAAATCAAAGTCGAACTGGGAGTAGTCCCAGGGACAGGCGTTGAACTGGCGCAGAATGAAGCCGGTGGTGAACTCCCACAGGTAGGTCCAGAGCGTGTAGATGAGGCAGCGCACCAGCAGAGGACAGCGGCCGCGCAGGCGCAGGTACATGCGTTCCACGATCAGGATGGAGGTGCCATAGATGAAGAGGGCCCATACGCTCGTGACCCCAGGGAACTTCCAGTTAAAATTCACCACAAACTCCCAGGCCGCAGTGAACATCACCTCGCAGAAATAGCCGTGGATGGCATACAGGTACCAGCGGGACAGCGCTGTCAGGGGCTCGGCAGAAGCCATGGTGACAACTTGGGCTTCCTGCTGGGGATACAGGGAGACACATGAGGGAAGCCACCTTTCACCTTTCCCTGCCTCCTGTTCCCCATCTCTGCGGTAGCCAGGCTGGAGGCGATTTCAAATCCGTTTCGCCTTTCCCCGTCCTCTCTCGAACTAACCATAGTCCCAAACTTCTATCCTGTTGCACTACCTTAGTTCCCTGTTACCCCTTAGCCAGGCAGGCCTGGGAAATGACGGGAAGAAAGCATAACCCATTGCTTCTTTTGAGCAACCCTACTCAAATACTACAGGGAGATGTCTGCTGAGTCTACTGAACTCTGTAACACTTATATGGTTGTCTGAGGTTAGTTGAAGAAGTTAGCTGCCTTGTGCTACAGGTGCCCTTCCTCAGCAGGTCCATTGGGAACCATGTTTCTCGTTGCTGCTCCTACAACAAACAGTTCCAGGTCACTCAAAATCTGAGATTAAGTAGTCTCTCTCTCTCTCTCTCCATCTCTCTCTCTCTCTCTCCATCTCTCTCTGTCTGTCTCATACATACACAACACTATTTTAACAACCTGTTGAGTCTCTCATACATTTCTCTCACATTTATGTATACAGAATGTCAACATCATAACGATATATCACCATTTTTATAGTTTTCAAGTGTATGAATTGATAGCATTAAGACATTCACAATGTTGTACAATCATTATTGCCATGATTTCCAGAACCTTCTTAACATCCCAAACAGAATCTCTGCACCAGGGCTGGGATGTTGCTTAGTTGGTAGAGCTTGCCTAACACCATGCAAACTGGGTGTAACCCCAAAGAGGTAGAGATAGAAGGATTAGGTCGTCTTCAGCCGCATAGAGAATTCAAGGGACAGCCTGAGCTATACTGGCCTTGTCTAAAAAAATGAGAAGGAAACTATTGTTAATTGCCAATCCTCCCTTTCTGCAGCTCCTGGCAGCCATTGTTTCAGCCTCTGTAGACTCTCACGATTTTTCTCTTGTGGCTGACTTACTCGATTAATGTAATGTCCTCCAGGTTTATTCAGGTTGTAACCTGTGTTGGAACAAATCCCCTTCTTTTGGAAGATTGGAGGAATTCCACTGGATGGAACATTCTGTTTCTCCACTGTTCATAGATGCCTGGTTGACTTCCATTTTTGAGTAGTGCTGTTACACATGGGTGAACAAGCATCTATTCAAGGCCTACTTCCAGATCTTTTGGGTCTATACCTAGACAGGAATCATTAGGCCACATGGTAATGTGTGGCAGCCTTTCTGAAAAACTGCTGTACTGGGTTGGAAAGATGTCTTAGTGGTTAAGAACACTTCCAGAGGACCCAGATTCAATCCCCAGCATCCACACGGTGGCTGTCAAGTATCTCTGACTCCAGTTCTAGGGAATCTGACATTCTTCTCTGGCCTTCGTGGGTACCAGGCACACATGTGGTCCACATGCACATAAAACACAATACACATTTTAAAAAATTATCAAGAAATGTGGTGCTCGTTTATACATTTCACAGCCTCAGCAGAACATGTACAAATTCCAGTTCCTTTGTATCACTGTTAACATTTGAGTTTTGTTTTCTCCATAATATCCATCTTAAACTAGGTACCTTAATATGATATCATTGTGGTCATGTTTTATTTTTAACTGCTACAGTAGATGAGTCTTGGCCAACCCCTTTTCCCTCCTCCTCTCTCAAACCTCACTGCCAGTCTTCAAGGCCTGGCTTTCCTCCCATCAGGCATCCCTAAAGCCTTGTCTGGCTCCTAGGCCTCTGACTGTTATCTAGGGCTCTATCTTAGAGGGTCTGGACCACTCATGAGGCCCATTATCAGAAGCCAGTCTATTTACTTTTTGATGCATGAGCCCTTGTGATTCAACTAGCTCTCTAACTTCTTGAGTGAACTCCCTGAGAGTGACTGTTTCACAGTCCTGTTACCCAGCTACTTGCCCCAGGCCTCTCTTCTGTAAGAGTCTAAATAACACATCTTGTTTATGAAGAGGGCAGTATGGGAGAACTCACTGTTTATCAAGAATGAGTTTTGTCAGCTACCAGTGGGCATCCAGCTTGACATTTACCAAATCTCTCTCCTAGGTAGGGCAAGGGATAGAAGTTACCAAGGTAGATTCTGCAGTTTGCCTACCTGACTGAGAATCCTAACACCATCTTTCAGCTATACAGGCCTCACTGCAATAATACTTACCCACCTTTTTGTCCCTTAATCACATTTTTTAAAACTTGCTCTTACTTAAAACTCATATGAAGCCAAAGTGTGGCGGCATGTGCCTATAACCCTAGCTCTCGGAAGGCTGAGACAGGAAGATTGCAAGTTCTAGACCAGCCTGGAAGACACAGCAAGACCCTTAGTCAACACAACTTAAAGGGGGGGTGCTGGTTTTCCTACCATACAGAGGTCCTACATTCAATCCCCAGCCCTATGTAAACCGGGCATGGCACTACATGACCATATTCTCACCACTTGAGAGGAGGAGGAGGAACAGAAGAAGTTCAAAGTCATCCTTAGCTACATAGTGAGTTCCTGTCCAGCCTGAGCTGCAAAAGATCTGAGAGGGTGGCAGAGGGGAAAGAGAGGAGGAAGGGGAGAAAGGGAAGAGAGGGGAGGGAGGACATTTTACTGCTGTTTGATATGTGAGACTGGGAGGGACTATCATCTGCCCACATCCCCGGGGTCTGTAAACAGAAGAGCTCACAGGAGAGCCAGTTCTCAGGTCCCACCCAAGACAGCCTCCTGCACAGACCTGTGCCTCCTGTCTCTTCATCACCTTTCCTAATGAAACATGATAGCATCCTTGACCTGCCATTCAAGGCTCCCTTATACCTCTCCCACCTTATTCCACTATCCAGGCCTCTCAGCCTGGGTCTTGTTTATTCTGTTTGGTATGCCTTCTCTAGTCCCTTCAAGCACAAACCTGGTGTCTGGGTGATCTTTAGAACAAATTTCTCCTCTCCCCTGAATTTCCACAGCACCCCCACCCCTCTGATGCTGATTGTTTTATTAAATTCCATTGATAATTTTCAGTACCAAGCCAGACCTTATCCACTCGGCCAACATAGCCTAGACCTCTTCCTTCAGTAATACAACCAGATTCAGTCTCTTTCCGGGACACCTTTTCCTGTGCCCTGTGGGTACCTCAAGCTCCTTCCTAAGTCAAACGCAGTATCTTTCCCCCAAACCAGTTTCTCTCCTTTGACCCTTCCCGATTAATGGCTACTGTGTTGGGTTCATTGATACCCCACAAGGATGACAGTAGTTCTCAATAAGTAGCAAATGCCACCAACCATAGCATTTATAAACCGTGTCCTAAGTCACCGGTCATTTCCTATTGTAGTTCAGGCATCTGTGGGTCAGAAGATCTCGGCTGGCTTAAGTCATGAGGCTGTGAGTCACCATGGCTCTGTCCTGTGCTCAGCTGGGAAGGTTAAACCAGGGTGACTCTACTCCCTCCACCAGTTTCTCATCTTCCTCCTGGACCCAGCAGACTAACACTTATCTCACAGTAAGTGGTAAGGCATAAACCCAAGAGCAAACCCGCCCAACCACACATGTGTTTTTCACTCTGGCCAAGAGGAAGAAAGAAGGGAGGGGGTCACTGTTAATGGTCCAGGGTACAGTTGGAGATAAGGAATAACATCTAAGGTTCTGTAGTATACTAGGTTAGCTATGGCTGATTGCAATTCATTGTGAATCTCAAAGTAGCAAGTTGGGAGGACTTTGAATGCTCTCAAAAAAAAGGACTCATGTTGTAGGTGCCAATCACCCTGATCTGATTATGCATTGTGTACATACGTGGAAATGTCACACTGCACCTCATAAATAGGAAAATTTACTACATGTCCCTTAAAGGGTTTATGTTTGGCAGGGTCTGATGTATCCTAGTCTGGCTCTTGAACTCACTGAGTAGCCAAAGATAACCTTGAACTTCTGATTCTCTTGCCTCTCCCTACCAAGAGCTGGGATTACAGGCTTCCTGTATGCTAGGCAAGCACCTAATCAACTGAACTATATATATATCCCCATTCAAGATATTTTTTGATATTAAAATTATTTAAATTATTTTAAAAAATAAAAAGGCAACCCATTATTTTAAAAAGCCCTGCTTACGCCCTGTGAACATCTCATTGGTCAAAGTCAGTCACATGGCAAAGCTATGAACCCCTGGACTTTGCATCTTTTGACCCTCTTGGGAATCCATCTCCTCCTTGCTGCTGTTCTGGTTCAACCTCATCTCACCAGGCAGCTGTAAAAGTCTCCCAGCTTTGCCTTGCCTACTTCCAGTTCAAACCCATAGCAAAAGTGTATAGAGAAGGCGAACTTTCTAAAATGCCAGTCTGATGTTTCTCTCCATTAAAAGCCCATTAGTGGATTTTCAACATCAGCATCCCTCAGAGATAGCTGGCGAACTCCTCCTGGGCCCTACTCTGCTTCTGGATCCCAGCCAGCTCTGTGCTTTGGATGCCAGCATCACTGTCTTTGCGGGATCCCCTTACCCCTACCCCTATCTGCCATAGCCCATGAATTGCCATTCCGCAAGACTCAAGTGCTGTCCACCGTCCTGTGTGCCACCTCCACACACCTTGTTCATCTGTCCCAACAGCCAACCCTCACTTTGCTATGATTCGTTCAAAGGCTAACTATGTGAACAGAAAATGCCAGGACTTGAGGCTGTGAAATTAACATTGGATTTTGCAAAGGCATATTCCCATATAAATGTGCAAAACATTCAGCACAAATTGTCATCGGATAAGATTATATATGGGTTTTCATTACATTTTTCTGTATATTCTAGACTTGACAAGTAAATGGACCCAAGAAACTTGAAGTCATGTAAAACCGATGTAGATTTTTTTCCCTCCTGAGGCATCCTCAATTCAATTCACAACTTAAATGTGAACAGTGTAGTCACTGAGCTCAGGAACCCTAGATCCTAACTGTTTGAGCCTCAGATCCCAAATCTGTAAGATCCTTAGCAAACTACCTCACTGCACACAGCCTCAGTTTCCT